GTGCGTCGGAGTGGGGAGGTGTGAACGCGGGGCCGCGGGCTGGGCAGGGGCGCTGCGAGGCCTGGAGTGACAGCGCGGGCCGGGCGAGGGAGCGATCGCGCTGGGGTGTCCCCGCCGCGCGCGGACGCCCCTCCCGAGGCAATTAGGGGTGCACGGGGACGCCCCTGGCTCAGTCTGCCGGCCCTCTCATTAAAACGGCCACCGACGGTGGAGAAGAGCTGTGACCGCGCGCGTCTGCATCGTCAGCTCAGCCAAGGGCAGGGCAGGGGGCTCAAACGCTCGGCCCAGAGCACCTGCTGGGTTTAGCCCCTCCTCGGGACACTGCCCTCCAGCCTGAAGGAAGAGAAGGCTTCGTTTCTGGTTGGGTTTGCACAGACAGCCCCGTCCGAGGTGTAGACTGAAGGGACAAAAGCCCGGAATCGGGCTGCCCGCGAGGCCCAGGGTGCGGAAAGGAGGCGAGGGGCCAGGCCTTGCTCACCGCTCACTGGTCCCTTCGCGTTGCGGTGAGAGCAGGAAGGCAGCAGAGCCGGCCGTTTCTGGACGGAGGAGAGTTCTCTTTCTTGAGTGGACTGTGGCCCCAACAGGCTCCACGTCTCAGCATGGAAGCCAGTTTGAAGTGGCTGTAGCTGGCTGTACCTCCCCTGGGCCGTATTGTTTATGCTCCTTGGAAGGGATGCTCTAACGACTTCCGGAGAGGAGAGGACAGGAGGCCTTTGAAGTGTGGGCAGGATTTCGGTCCTTCTGACTCCTTTGATGTGGTAGTGACCAGGCGGGGCAGACCAGCTACCAACCGCCAGATCAAACACTACCCAAGTTCACCTCTGCCGGGATGGGCCTATTCAAGGGCAAATTGAAAGAATCTCAACATTTTCAATTTCCTGGTTTGCTTTTTTTGTTAGTACAGTATATGTCTTTCTTTTTTTTTTTTTTCTTGTACCGTGGATCGAACTCAGGAACTTAGCTTGCCAGGCAGGCGCTTGTGCCACTGAGCTATATTCCCAGCCTTTAGTACAGTATATGTCTTTCAAATAGATTACTCAGTTTTCTGTGCCTCCGAAATCATAATGAAAACCTTTGGGCTAAGGTGCTCTACTTACATTATTCCATTCAATTTTTTTGGTTTTGTTTTGTTTTTTTGAGACAGAATCTCACTATGTACTGAATTCCAGGCAGGCCTGGAACAAGCAGTGATCCTCCTGCCTCAGCCTCCTGAGTGGTGGGATTACAGGCATGTGCCCATTTAATCTTCATAACTATCCCATTTAGAGATGAGAATTTACAGGCTGAGATCACACTGCTGTCTGAAAGCCTTCCTTCTTGTGAAACTCTCCTTTGTGAAATTTAATTGGATTCATTAAGTGACTCAAAGCACGTAGAACACTTACATCAGTGCCTGGCTCAGGGTGAGGCACACTGGATGCTTAGCTGCTGTTATCACTCTTGTTACTAATGAAACTGTAAGTCTCTGTCCCTCTAGCAAGTGTTACAGGGATCGTAGGCAGCAGCCCTCTATGAGGTCTGGTAGAGATGTGTTAGGTTTTGCTTTTGTCTGGGTAGAGCTACCTCTGGGTGGCTTGGAGGTTGAATTCTGGAAGGAGCTGCTCTGTATACTTTACACTGTCTTCCCTCCCACAGGGATTTGCGCCTGAACTTTCTTTCTTCTTCCTTCTCTGCTGTAGAAAGCGGTGGGAGGCAAGCTGCTGGGTGCTCATCTGGGTGCTATAATGTCTAGGAGTCTAGAGTGGAATGGAATGTGGATTCTTGAATTTGTTTTTATGACAGGGATAATGTAACTTGACTTGGGCTTAAAATTTCACAAAGCAAAGCAGCATTATTTGCTACATTATTTAATTTTTTAAAAGTACGCCCCCTACCCCCAAAGCTAGGCATGGTGGCACACGCCTGTAATCCCAGCCCTGGGGAGGCTGAGGCAGGAGAATCATTGCAAGTTGGAGACCAGCCTGGGCTACAAAGTGA